CTTGTAGGGGGTGGGCACGGCAATGACCCTGGGAGCAGGGGATGCTCCTAAATAAATACCTTTATAGCCCGAACTCCGAAACGAGCGGCCTCCACTTCAAAATTAACTCGGGACTAGGAGCTACAAGAAAATTAGAAGTGTGATTTCACGTTGCACTGTGATCGTACCTATCAGGAGCAGTACAACCGGTGACAGCTGCACCAGCACAGGCAGGGTGGCAGAGCAGTTACGTCATGGTGCATTGTGTGTGCTCCTTTTTATTTGTAAAAGAAATGAAAGAAATGAAATGAAAAGAAATAAGTATTTTGAAATGAAATATTTTGAACGTCAACTGCTGGTTTTCCTTGTCAGAATTCTGACCTCATTTTGTTTTACACCCATAAGAGAGACATGAAGTGCAGGAGCCGCAGGATGCCCACACCCAGGCCGGAGCATAGCCAGCAGTGACCCTTCCCCTGTGCTTAGTACTTGCAAGGTGGCATCTGGAGTACTGTGATCCCCCCGCAAATACAAAGATACCGACTGGATGGAGTGAGTCTGGCAGAAGGCTGCAAAGGTGGTCAAGGATCAGACCACGAGGGACGAGGTGAGGCTGAGCACCAGCCTTTTTCGGCCTGAAAAAGGGAAGGCTTTGTGACACCCTTGCTGCTGTCCACAGCTACCCCACCAGAGAATACAGAGAAGACGGAGGCAAACCCTTGCCAGAATTGCATAGCAATAGGCAACAGGCACAGGTTAGAACACAGGAAACTCTGGTTATATAGAAGGACTTTTTAATCTTTTTTTTAAACCATGGTGGTGGTCAAATACTGGAACAGGTTGCCCTAAGTAGTTGTGGAACCTGTGTCTTTGGAGTTGAGTTCAAGGCTCAGCTGGATACTCAGCTGAGCAGCCTGATCTAAATGCTTTGAGAAAGGGGTTGGGCTAGCTGACCTCTGGAGGTCGTTCTCAACCTAAATTATTCTATAGGTCTAGAAAAATTTCAGTACTCTATTTTTTGTGATAGAGGATTAATTACATTGCCTTAGGTAAACACAAGGACTTATTTATTACTTTCTGTGTTAACTCATTGCATTACATCTGTGTTTGAGCTGAATAACGTGCAGTTACACCAAGGGAACACCCTGCTGTGAACAGCCTGCCTCACTCACTTGAAGCATAGCTTTTGAGAGGAGTAACTTGATGGGCTGTTATTCTTTACTCCGTCTCACCCTATCAGTCAGAACTCACGAATAAACAGCAAGGAAGAGTAATCTTAAAGCATTTCTGTGTACCTCTGCAGTAACACCAGCCAGCCTGCAAACTTCAAAGCATTAACAAATATTTACTTACTAATTAGTCATACCTGACAATAAATTCCTATATATCATTAATGGTATTTCAAGCAGATTATTTACAAAAGCTCATCTTCACTTTCAGCCTTTTAGCTGAAAACTTTCACCAGCATGCATGCAGTGTACCAGATGCTTTGGACAAGACCCTGATATAACCAGGATTTTATATAGTTGTCACTAGGTAACTTTCAGTGGTGTTTTCAGCCTTCAGTTTTAAATGATTAAAAATTCCTGTCCTTACAACAAGCAGTTTTCCTTCCCCTCTTTCCCCCTCCAGTTTCTGACTCCTAAACATGCATAGCTTCTATGCTTTCTATGCTTTTTTTTTTTACAGCAAAAAGCATAATTGTTTGGAATAGTACAAATTCCACTAATGTAATCAACCTTGACCTATTTTAAATGGGTTGCAACCTTCATCCAGACTATTTTGTTAATAAACCCAAAACAAAGTATGATAGAACTCAAAATACAACCCATAACCCAAAGTGCCCATTACAGCCAATGTGTTTTTGAAGCCCAAAAGAACTGCAGGAAGCAAAACTACGAAGACAGCTGCTTTCTTGACTAGTGTAGTAAAGCAACAAAGCAAGCCCTTGAAACTCACAGACATCGAATGTGGCATCAATGAATTAAGAAGTAGCTGATCCAAAAAAACAGAAAAGGTTCATTTTCTCCTATGCTTCTAGTTAAGTCAGAGGACATTGCTTTGCCAAGGCTATTACTGTCCATCAAAACTATGGCAAAGTTTGGCTACACTATGTAGTGTAATTACTGAAGCAGACAGATAACATACTTCACATGAGGAATTTAACAAATGGCCACTCCCTCTAGAGGTGGGAGGGTGGGGAATTACTCAAGAAACCGCTGTCTGTGTTCTGGAAGTTAAATACAAACCTAAATGGGCTTGAACTAAGTATGTACCATCAGCTGATTTTGAAGCTCATTCAACCTTCACAGCCATCCTTTTCCTGAGAACAGCTTCCAGCAATCCATTATTTTGTTAGTTCCTAACCCAGGAATTGCCTCCAAACCTTTGTGTATAACAGCCATGCAGTCCATGAAACCATCCATTCCCTCTTTCCAACCTATTCCTGCTTTGATCCTCTGCAACATCTTGCTCCATGCCTTCCACAACACAAGAAATGCATTAGCCTTTTTATGTCACTTACAGATGGTACTGCTTCACACCCCCTTTAGTTTGCATCTCTGAGCTTAGAAACCTCTTTTTTTATGCCATTTGTCACAGGTACAGAACAAACTTGTATTTATGTACTGTTTTGTCCTTCAGGCAAGAACAGCTCCTCAAACATCAGCTCCATCTTCCCTGCCACCCAAGTCATTCATTAAAGACTTACGAAATGTGTGCTAATTGTGTGCAGCAGATTGTCTAAGAAACCAAGTGTTTTATGGCAAAAAGGTGTTTTTCAGTCTGCAAAACCAGACATGGTTATTTCACAGCTTAATTCTCTTCAGTATATCTCACACAGCTGAAGAGAACATGGCACAAGTTGTGAAAGTTAGTCAGATGTTTATTCAGCATCGCTAACGGTTTGGCAAGTTAGCGCTTTCCACCAACACGGGGAGCAGAAACCTTGACTGGTTTCACAATCTTCTGCTTAGGCGCTGCCTTTGTAGGAGCCTGTAGAGAAGTAAGACAGTATGAGTGAAGAGAAGCAATTTGTCTGCAGTCCTGAAAGTATCCCTTAAGATTCTTGACAGAAATCAGGCAATTTAGCTCAGTTTAGAATTACAATCTATCAAATTAGAATTATGTTAACAGATGGTTACACACACACCACTGTAAGCCTACAACATGTACGATGCCAATATATGGTATTAACTCATAAGTAATAATGAAATAGATGCTAGCATTCATCAGTATATTGTCACCAAGTTCCTAGATAGTGAAGATGTCACATCCAGACAAGTTTTTAGCTATCAAGAATCTCTGACATATGGTCAGAAAGTTGTTTTACTGTGATATTTATTTCTTCTGTAAAAAACATTAATTCTATGCAGCTGTTTGGGTGGGTTTAACTTTGGTATAAAAGTTTGGTCAAAGTGGTTCCAGATCAAAAAAGCTAAGCAAATGCTTCTTCCAAACATAAACTGGAATTTCCAATTAAGCACTGCAACACAATGTTGTGTTACAACACCATATATGCCATTTCATGATTTCTATCCACCTATTGCATCTTACCTTTGCAGCAGAAACAGCCGTTTTCTTGGTTGCCTGCTTAGCCTTCTTGGCTTCCTTTGCAGCCCTGTTAATTCACAGAAAAAGAGTAACAGTTATCCCTGTCTGCCATTCACTGTTTCTTTGTCTCAGCACTGTAAGAACACCCCAAGAAGAAAGGAATGCATTATTTCAGGTTTATCCTCTGCATTCAGTACCCTCTAGGGAGACTACTGCAGAGACAGCAGAAGTGTGTGTAACAGAAGCGGTTTTTTCACAAAGGGAGAGGGCAAGAAGAGACCCTTTGCTGCTGCTGCTACTATCTCTTGCTGAGATTTCTCAGTGTTACTTCCAAATATATGATTAAAAAAACCCAAAGCTCACCACAGACAAGCTTATAAAACACAGAGCTCATCTAGAGTTTAAGCTCTTGTATGAAAAGCGTTAATAATCTTTGAAAAGCCTGGGACAGCTCCATTTATCTCCCATTTCTCACCTAATAGCTTGTTCCCTCTGCGCCTTTCGTACTTCGGGCTTCTGATTTCGTTTAGCCATAATCTCAGCTAAAGATGCACCAGTGATAGCTCTCTGAAACTTAACAGCACGACGTGTGCGCTTCTTTTGTATCTCTTCCTAAAGTGGCAGAAGATGAAGACAGACAATTAGTATCACAAGACATTAAATAAAAGGCTAAAGACAATTATAGAAACAAGCTGCTGTTGAGATTGAAGCGACTATAAAACTGTATACAGAAGTATAATTTTACTCCTCACTTTAGAGGTAACTGATTTCTTGATTTGCCAAAGCAGATGAATAGCTAAAAAAGAATAATGTATTCTCCTTTCCAAGGTATAAAAAAATAAAATTCTTTTGCAAGAATGTCAGAAGTTCAGCCTTCTGTAACTCCCAGAAAAAAAAGAGGGGAGGGATAAAATCCGCGTTGATGGAATCTTCTGAAAGGAAGACACTTCTGACTTGTTTCAAGTGGGATCATGGTGCTAGGCAGCAGTCTAAGCCACTGAGCATCAACTTTCCTTCTCCAAACAAACTGGTAAAAAGATTGATTTATAACACATATGTAAACCTTTCTAAATGCTCTTTTGCTGTGCAAGTTTAAGTAAGAGCACTGAAAATACCCCATGCTACATGTCTTACTATCTTTTTCATGCAATGACTACTATGTAGGAAAGACCTCCTATAAGTTACAGCCCAAAGTTTTCAAGAAGGGTACATGAGAAGTTCCCCTACCCTTTAACCCCCCAAACAGCTCTCTATGCTATCACCATTCAGGAAGTTTACAAACCCAAACTTTTAGAAAGCCTGCTTATTAAACAGCATTACCCACCTCTTCTAAAACTACTTTTTAAAAACATATGCCATTCATACAATTGTTAAAATTTACTGAACCTACTGTGGTTCTGAGTGGTCCCTCAAAGAACTGATGCAATACAAATAGAATGCTTTTGCTGACACGGTTAACTTTCAAACATAAAGAAGCATACAAACTCATGTAAATGCACTCACATTTTCACCATTATTGGCCAATCTTCATCCTGGTTACATGGGTCATGCTTCTGCTAAACACCAGCATACTCAAGTTACCTCTATTCTAGCAGACCAGTGACCACATCTTTTGGTAGACAACTTTAGAGCGCCATTAGTTGGTATATACTTACTGACTGTCCTTTCTTGTGTTTACGCCTATACAGAACAGTCCAGTTGATTTGACGGGGGTTTCTCTTGGAAAGGAATGCAGACTCACATTTAGCATTCAAGAACTGAAAAACCTGGGAAGGTAAAGTATTTTGTGTAAGCTCTGTTTCTATGAAAGACGTTATCACAGTTGATGTTAACATATCAAGTAATTCTTTGATTCAGTGTTTTTCAACAGTGATGCTTTCGTATTTCTTTACACAGCTCTGACAATTAAAAATTTTAGAAGATAATTTAAAAAAATTAAAGTCTGGAATTTTGTTCCGTTGATCAAACTGATCTTACAAGGCATTCTGAAGCAGCATGATTTTTCTGAGGAAAGCTCAAATTACCACTTGCATTCACTGCTGCGCTGTATTCCAGGCATAGCATGAATAGCCTTATCCAGCATCACACTTTTCAGTTGTCTGCTCTTAAGTAACTGTGTGCTTTCTGTACGCATAAGTGAGTCAAAACAGCCTAAGGAACACACAGAGACCAATACTATGCCAAATTCATGCTTACATAGTTACACTAACCTTTTTGCCTAGAATAACAAGCAGAATTAGCAGGCTGATTTGTTATTAGCTATACAATTCAATTTAAAGTATAAACAAATTTGTAGAAGAGCCCCTGAGAATTCAGTCGGTCTATTTACTTAGCTGTCATTTCCCAGGAGATTCTCTACAGCAATACAACTGTTTTAGAATATCAAAACCCCAAACCCTACTTTTGTAGATATGAATAGCACACTTGTATTTATGACAGTCCTATCTATATGAGATACGACAGCCTGAAAAGGGTCTCCTCCCTATTTTATCCCAATGATCTGTAACCAACTTAGTTGCAAGTTCAGTTGTTTACTTCAGCAAATCTCAGCATTAGACACAGTATGTATAAACAGCATTTTCCACAGAACTTTGGTACTTTAGACCAAATGCTTTAAGACATCCTTCTCAAACCACAACCTAAAACCCCGACTCAAAATCCTAACCTACAGCACAAGCACGGTTCTCCCGCAGACCAGGTCTGACAGTAGTCATGACATCTGGACACCGACAGCGCAGCGATGCTATTCTCATACTGCTCGATACGAGCGATCCAAGCAGACGCTACAGCAACGGCACCGGAGACCCCAGGCAACACCGAGTTCCCCACCGCACGTCAAAGGCGAGGCCTTCGCTTCCCCCACCACTGCATCGGCCTCTCTCTCAGGCCTACCACC